TGGCGAGAGACACAAGGCTCGTGGCCGCCTGTTCTGTCTGTGCCCGCGGAAAATCCTCCCACCAGCCTCCAGCTGGACTATTACACCCTTGCCCGCTCCACGTCGCCCTTGGTCCACATCGCTGTGGACTTTGTTACCGGTCTGCCTACCTCAGAAGGTAATGACACTATTCTCACCATTGTTGATCGTTTTCTAAGTAGTCCATTCTGCCTCTGCCCAAGCTCCCTCGTCTGAAACTGCCAAACTCCTGGTCACCACGTGTTCCGCCACATGGAATCCCTCAGGACATTGTTTCAGACCGTGGTCCACATCGCCTCCCAGGTTTGGCGAGCTTTCTGCCAGGCCTTGGGCGCTTAGTCAGTTCTCCTCAGGTTACCACCCACAGTCCAACGGCCAGACAGAACGGGCGAACCAGCAATTGGAGGCTGCCTTGCGCTGCGTGCCGCCCGACATCCGGTCCCTGGTGCACATTTTCCGTGGATTGAATATGTCACAACTCCTCACCTGCGCTGCCACAGGTATGTCCCCGTTCATGGAGCTTATGGTTTTCAACCCCATTGTTCCCACTCAGGAGGGGAGGTGGCGGTCCCGTCAGACAGGACCACCTGCGCCGCTGTGCCGGTTTGGACTGAGGCTCGTGCAGCCCTGCTACGGACAGCGGCTAGAAACCAACGCCTGGCGGACCGCCACCGACCCCTGCCCCGATTAACACCTGGTCAGAAGGTATGGCTTCTTCTCGAGACCTGCCATTGCAGGTAGAGTCTCAAAGCTAGCTCCACGATTTATTGGACCTTTGAAGTCGACAAAATCATCAATCCTGTGGCGGTGAGGTTAAAACTCCCCCGTCATTAATGTGCATCCTGTGTTTCACGTATCCCTGAGCCTGTTCCTCCAGCCTCTGTGCCCTCCGGCCGACCCCCTCCGCCCCCGGCTCATTGACGACCACCCAGCCTAACAGTTGCCAGATCCTGGACGTCCGACGGCGGGCCGGGGTTTCCAGTACCTGGTGGACTGGGAAGGGTCGGGCCGGAGGGCGTTCTTGGGTCCCCGGCACTTCATCCTGATTCCCCCTTCTTCGGACTTCTACCGATCCCACCTGACAAGCCCGGTAGGGCCGCCAGGAGGGCCTTTGGGGGTTGGCTCTGCCCCTTTGCCCCCCCCTGGGCTGAGGGTGCGGCCTCCATTCTCCTCACCTGCTGCCTGCTGTCTCACCTGCTCTCAATCATTCATCATGCTCCAGTCTTCAAGAACCCCGGTCTTCCTCCCTTCATCGCAGATTTTTAGCCAACTTAGTGGTAACTTGGTCTGGCTTCTTTGTTCTACATGTCCACCCGTGATTCTCCCGCCCCAGCCCCTTGTCTAACGTTTCTCTCCTGTGCCCAGGAACCTGCAGTTGTTCCCAGGTGTCTCCTGTGCCTCCGTGTTTCTCGTCTCCCTTTTTTTTTCCCCCCCCTTTTTCTCCCGGGGGGGGGGTGTGTTTTTTGGGAATAAAGACCCTTAAACCGTCCATCTTGTCGTGTTTGTCCTGGGTCCAGTAACTACCCTGTCAAGGGAGTTATTGGTGAGAAACTCTATTAATGCCTGCCAAGTTTTTTTCTCAACTTTATTTTTATCTTCTCCTTCAGTCTTGCAGATAAAAGGAGTGCAATTAGAATTTGAGCTGTAATTAGGTCACTAATTGGCCTACAGCTTGTCAGTCAGTGCAGTTTGCATTAGCTGGTGGGTGAAAGGGTTTCCAAACTTGTCTGAAAAAAAAAAACACGTTGACATGTTTTAGAGATGCAAAGATATGAGGGATTTTGAAAGGGTGGACACATTTTTCAGCATGTTCTGCCCTTGTCCTGTACTTCATGGGGATGTAAAAATAACTTCCTGTAAAGGACGCAGCAGTTCAAATGTTCCTTTATGTCTGAAACTGGACCCAGCCTGTTTGCATTGTTTCTTTATATAATGCCATATATTGTTATGTTTGTTTAAGTCAATCATGGCTTTCTTAAGCACAATGGGTTTCCCTAAACAGCAGGCTCCTCTTGCTATGTACAGTTAATTTAATTCTTCATTAATGTCACACAGGGTTTGATTAATGTCAGAAAACTCTGGGCTGGATCGTGAAACGTAACTGCTGACAAGTAGCTGTAACCTAATATCCCATGCATATTACGCACAAAAAAAACCTATTAATGTATTTTGTTAAAGTAGATTTTGTTTAGTTTCTCCCTTGGGGCCATTTAAAAGCTAAAAACAACTTCCTATTAAAACAAACCTGTCACCCCTTTAGAGAGGATCACTGACTTAGAGAGAGGTTGACTGGTAAAGGACACAGATCTGATAAGCTCTTTTAAACTTTACTGTTTACTACTAAAGGTGCTTTCACACATATGTTGGAACATCACTGACTTGAAATATCCATGTGAGACGGTGGTTTTAGCATTTACTCCACTGTTTTGGACAGCTTTTTTCCTCCTCACAACAGCACTGCTGAGGTGTAAAATAATAACATTGAGGAACACTAGTGTTCTCAGATCTCATGTCCACAGCTTGATAACAGAGCATGAACAACAATTTCATGTTTAGACCATAAACTTGCATGTGCTGTATATGTTAATGTAAGATACATAAGAATTCAAAAATAAAAAACTGAAAAAACTGAAAAATTACTCTCTCAAACAAGACACCGACATCTAAAACTGCCAGAATATTTACCATGTACATTGTAATGTATATGTGACAAGTTCAAGTAACAGTTCTTAGACTAGTCTCCTAAAGCTGAGCTGTACTCCTACTTTAGTTACTCCTTAAATCCTGCAGAAAAAGCAATGATGTATGGTGCACTCACATGTTGGATCTGTGACTGTGTTAAGTCTTGACACTTTGTACAAAGAACCTGAAGGTGGTGCTAGAAGATCTTAACTTCATGCTCAATCGATACCTGAGAGGTTAGTGAATTCATACTGAACAGCACCGTGACCTCTACCTTCTTTGCCGTTCTTCTGCAGACCGTTGGAAACATCCTGACAATGCATAGGGACAGACTCTCCTCCCACCTCCTTGTAGATATTGAACTCCTCCTCCAGAGTGCTGATGACTACAGATAGGTCTTTCTCTCTCACCTATACAACATAGATGTGCGACATAAATACAGATGGTTTTACAGCGTTGTGAAATATGTACATGCACCTTGATCGACATTCTGTTTAGAAATAGTCTACAATGAGCTCATTTGTAGAATTTTCAGTTTGTGTCGTGTCATTTCGGGGCACAACACTGCCTCGCTTTAAGGGAATATTCCAGCTCAACCAGCATGTCGACCATTAATATACTTGCTGACACAAACGTCTGTCAAGCTGTTATCTATTTTTGCCTACTTAACACTTTCGCATGTAATACATCGACTAACTTTTCAGGGCTCTCAGCTCAGTTGAGAATTAATTCCTTAACTGCAAAACTGGTGAGTGGACAAAATGCAGACGCTG